AGTCAATGTGAGTTTTTATAAACACATGTCAGAATAGAAGCTTGAAATAATATTTGTTTTTAATCAACTAGAAGACTAGATCTCTAGCTACATAATTAGTCATTTCTAAAAAAAGGGGAAAAAAAAGTAGCTCCAGTAACTGATGCAGAGAAGGCTTATTTTTGTAAGCTTGTCTTCACTGGTGTCTTAAGCATCTATCCTAAACCTTATTTTATCCATTCCTTTCCAATTTTCACCAACTCATTTCTTACGGTTTTGAAAACGATGCTCCCACTCCCTTCAGGGAAGAAATCCGCCTTCAAAATCCTTACCAGTGTCATTTCTCTTTCAGAAAATACACTAGCTCAAATATAGCTAAAGCCAACAAGATTTTAGGCAAGCTGAGTATTATTTTCAAAGCAATACTTACTGAAGCGAACAGGGAGCCACTACTGTGCTCTTCCAATGAGGAAGGGGGGGGTGGGGAAGAGAGAGAACTCTCAAATTTGGTTTCTTGGTCAGCAGGATACAGATTATTCAAAAAAAAAAAAAAAAAAAAAAAGCTCCGGGATCTGTGCACACCTAAGAGAACAAAAAATTTAATAAACAAAGACTTGGTTAATAAGTTACCTTCAACTACTTTCTAGTATTTCCAGATCTCTCCCTATTAAATAGTCGTCATCACACTCCAAGAGTGTAATTTAATTTGTGGGGATTTTCTTCTGTTTTAATCTAAACTTCATTTACTCTGCCACACTCTAATATGGTTGTTCTTAAAATAAACTTGTCTAAATATGACAAGTTAAAACTGTGGTCAGATTAATACATTCCTTTGCACTTCTAAAACCCAACACTTAAGAATCAATACACAGAAAAAAAGAAAAATGCTTTAACACCTAGAGTAAATTACCATCAAAATAGGAATTATAGACAATTTAAGGTACTTGAATACGAGAACAAGCATCCTAGAAAGCCACAATGGTTCTACGTTCAGACATTACAGGGCAGAAATAAATACCCAAAATCACCAGAAAGTCAGCGGGGACCTTCTGTTTAAATACTGTAGAACGTATTAGCTCCTACTCCACCAGTCTCAAATAGCTGACTGACTGTGTAATCTTATTATTCTGATCCATGTCTGCTTGGTCTAATAGAATCATAACCTCAAAACAATCTCCTTCCTTGCCCACTCTGGAGATATCCATTGACCTCATGTGCTGTTGAAGTGTCCGACAGGAAATGTTTGCCAGCCCTGCAAGGTCCCTCCTCTGCTTTCTGGAGCAGGGGGACAGCTTGGTGTTTTCCTGGTGGTGGGACAGGGACAGCAAAACAGAGTGGACCCTCTATGGTGCTGGGAAGACAGTTCAGAGTGAGCACACACAACAGTCAATTATGCTGTCAAAAATACACTAAAACTAGATTTGCAGTTCTATCAGTACACTGCTTACCAGTAATTGTGAAAAGAAATTTCAATTAATGTTTTGATGCTTAACAAAGCAGCCTCACATGTTTTATTTAGTTGTTTGTTGTTTTGTTTTATAAAATCCCCTCCAAAATAAAAACTAAGAGAGAAAACATGAAGATGTTGATTTTGCTGCGAGTTCAAAAGCTGGCCTGATGAGCTCTCTCTCTTGCACCAAGGGAATGCCAAAACAAGTTCCTAGACAAGTACATTATATTTAAACGCAACATTGATTGAGGTGAAAGGGTTGTCTCATCCTGTATTCTATTTCATTGACTGAATAAAGACTCTAAGTAATTCAGGATACTCACTTATTCAGATTAAAGATTAAACTACTACTGGAAGAGTGCAGGAAACACTAAACCAAAAAAATATTCCAAGTACCTGAAGTACATTGTATAGAACTTCTCCGAAACATTACTTAGAAATATTATGACCCCTATTTTAATTATTTTAATAGGGGTCATCTTCCCATTTTGCTCATCTTAGCAACAAAAGGGTAGGACATGCTTCGGTCACTGCCCATTAATGTCTACATGGGAAGGCAATTACAAATACTTTTACTGTCAGAAAAGGCAAATCCAACTGTTGGAGGCTGAAGTTTTATAACTTCACAGTAGAAGTCAAGAGTGTATTTCAGCAGTGAGTTTGAACTTGAGAAAAGAATCAGCAGAGCTTGTTTCGGAATGTGACTGGATTTCTGCCACTTGCTACCACACGCGTCACATCATGATCCCTTTGTAAGACAGGTCAGCTGGCAGCAGTGACCCGAGAAAGATGCCGCATAGTTGTGTAGCCCAAGAAACAGTACTGGTATTAGGAATATTCAATGAGTATATTGCTAACAGAGTAAGCCTCACATAATTGTAAGTTGTGAATAGAAATTGTGGCAGATACACTAAGAAGTGATCCACTAACAAAAAAACAAAAAAAAAGCTGCATTCTAAAAGAGTATTTTCCAGAGAAGATGACAAGGAAGCCTAGAGATAAATTATAGGCTCTTACTCTAGGAAGAGC